CTTTTACAGGCCTGACAGAGCAGCACGGTCCGTAAAAATAAATATGGAAACAAATTTCCCCTTATCCAATGTAGATTATGATTCCCCGTCCCAGATATTGATACCTCTCACGTGAAAACAAAGAAAATCATTACAGAACAAAAGCATGGGTAACTTGAATGATGGCCTAATTCTTCAGGTCAAATCATGCTTCCCTCCAAGAGATTTAGTTAGATGCAAGAGCTTAAACAAGGTTCAATGCCTATATTTCTAATAGAAATTTTTCTCACAAGCACTTTGTTAAATCAAGTCACAATGTCTGTGACCTCGTTCCGTTCTTGGATACATCTCCCAATGTCTTTTACGAACTTAAACTCTCCTTACCCTATTAAAGGCCAGAAATTTAGGAAATAATAGACATTCAAGCTTCGGTCTTGGCCTCGTGTGGTGGTCTTCTTCTCGTTCACGTTTTAAGATACTAGATTTATAGCATTTTCGACCCTATAATTGTGGAATTCCAACCATGATGGTTGGATTGTCTGGCAGGTTTGCTTGGCTGTTGATTTGAGAAATGATTCATTTACAATCAGATTGATAGAAGTTCTTTGTAAATAGACCAATCCAAGGTGAACCAAGTGCTTAAATTCACAGCATTTAAAGTTGGTTCAAATAAGTGAGAAGAAACCCATATAGAATTTGCTGCAAATCAAGTGATTTGAGCTTTGAGAAGATGGCATGAATACTCTACCTTTTTACTTGCATGGCTCAATTCATTGGCTTAGAGAAGATGGCGATATTCTTGCTTTCGACATAGAAAAATACCGCCAAGCTAAAATCATTCAGGTAACAAAACCTCTATTTTGAGGTTTGGATGTGACATATGGTTTGGTAGTGTCAAAGGTCCGCTTGCATTTGTCATTTCTTTTCAAGAAGAAATTGTCATCTTTGTTTATCATTACGAAAACAATTTTTGTAGAGTGTGTTGACCCTTCACTTTTTGAACTTGAATTTCGTTGTTGTGGGTAATAAAGTAAGGTAGAGTTCCTGTAAATACCGTGTTTGTCTCTAATTTTCTACATTTATTACGTAGGTCAGTCAAAATTTGCTTGTTTTCATTTAAACTGTGCAAACTGTGTGCATTTGTAGGTTGACTAAGATGCAGAACCTCAGTGCCAATGCAGGCTGTGTTCATTTTTCGGTTGACCCTATATTAATAGCCATATTAACTTTTGTTTGGTCCTCTCTCGTGATTTTTTTCGATTGAAAATGTGTTACTGTTATGAATGAGAGTTCTTTTTTAATACTCTAAAGAAGATATGTTCCTACCATTCAAGTTGTCTTAATCTTCGTTTATCTCCATCGATCTCATTTACACTTGTTAACATATATTCTTATGACCACATGTTTATCTATGAATCCTCATCCCCGTCCTCACACCTAGTGGGTGGAAGTGGGGCATTATTCCATTCCTAACAAGTAAGAAGTGACATCTTTTCCACATTAGCTAACCCCAAACTAGTTAATTTTAAGGTACTTATATATTAAAATTTAATGATATTATTGATAACGTACAGCTTTTACCAAGTATATGTTCTTAATTCAACTCGACAGAAATTGCAAAATAAATTGATTAGAAGAGTATCCCACAAACAGTAATTATTTCTCTTCCCTTCTGTGTATGAAAGTTGGACTAGTTTGTGCAAAAATGTAACCTGTCCATGACAAACCTTTTTCTGTCTCTAATTTTTTTTCCCCACAGCCAGAGAATACAAGTCTGTCCAACCTCATTACACGTAAATTTTCTTAACCACATGCTCGGATACTATATTTAATCATTAAAGCTAAAATATGAACAATGCTATCATTAGGCTTTTTTTGTAGTGGCCTGATTGATTGACAATTTCGTTAAAATTCATCACAATAAAAATGGAGAAGAGTTAGGTGACCCATGATGATTAGTATTAATCCTAAAACATTGTACCCATACATAGTGAAAAAAAAATAAAATTAATGACATGTTTTTTGAAACTTATATCTAAGTTGGAGTTTTGAAAAAAAATATATACAGTTAATTTATTGACGGGAAAGAAAATAGGAGCAGATCTATAATTGAGAAAATTGCACAAGATTTGCCCATGATAAGCAAGTTCAGAGCGTTCATATGTTTCCTTCTATAGCTGTTGCTTTGATATTCAAGGATTTTTCTGGCAGAAGGTAACTTATTCTTTGGGCTTTGTCCCTCTTCCCTATTTATCTTTTCTGATGACTAATGTTGACTGGTTACGCCGGATTCATCAAGAATCATTTTCCGTTTCGTGTTCAATAGAACATTTGTAAATCCTGTACTTTTTCCTTCATAGAATTTATGGCCATGTTCTGATATCCATTTTAATCGGCCAGCTAATAAAAGCTTAAGCTATTAAATATGAGAGAGCCCTTGTTAATTTATTTGATATTTGCATAAAAAACATCACTTGAATAGTAGCTTCATTACCTCAAACCGAAGAAAAGACCAAATATGCACCACTGGATTATTGATCAATTCTTCAAATTTGAAATAACTTCTTTGAGGCCATTGCTTCTCACAGCCATACCTGTATTGATCGTATCAATCAAAGCTCCAGTCATTGGTAACGTTTTCATTTGGGTACCGTAATCATGCTTGATCCTTATCATATGCGATGTAATCTCCTTCTGCTGCTTTATCATGGGATATGGGATATGGACCAATCTGGAACACTGAGATATTTGCAACAAAGTTTTTGTGGTATATTTGCCCTTGCTTTCTGGATTTATGATGCTATTGTTATACACATTGCATATGATGCGCAGCTCCAAAGAATTAGAGGATATTTTTGGAATTTATACAATTTTGTGCTTCTACTTGTGGATTTTCATATTCTTAGATGTTCCCGAAACAAAAGGCATGCCCGTGGAAGTCATTACCAAGTTCTTTGCTGTCGGAGCAAATCCAGCGGCAGCTGAACATGAGTAATGGAGAAAACCCGAATCCTATATTAGTTCTTCATGGTGGCTAAATAAAATATGCCATCTAGCTCGTTTTGTACAATCCAGTTCCATTGAAAATTAGCAATTGAATGGCTACTATGAAGTATATGAATTTTCTACCATTTTGTTGTATGCTATGGTAATGTTTGAAGTAGTGGGATCCATTGATATTAGGATTGAAGTATTGGTAGTCAAAGACAGATTATCATGGGAAATAAATATATGGTCTTCTGTGAAATTAGTTTCGATTTTCCATGTCACATTCTTTCCCACTCCCTTCCCAGTCTCCGAACAACAACAAAAACTTTTTAAGATTTGTTCTCAATAAATGTGAGATCTGGTAAACCATTTTTTTCTCTTTTCGGTTCCATTTGTTATTAGATTTAATAAGAAATCTAATTTTAGATCTATTAGACCCCTTTTGGTTGGAAAGACTACAGCGCAGATGCTTCCTTTGCCCCTAGTCAATTCCATGGCTGGACGTGCACGAAATGTGCTGGTGATGTGCACTTCAAACCGAAGGATGGCCAAATATGCACTGCAGGATTTATTTGACATTGGTAGAGAAAAATCACTTGAATAGTAGCTTCATGACCTCAAACAGAAGAATGGACCAAATTATGAACCCCTTGATTTATTGAATCAATTCTTCAAAATTTGAATTAACTTATTCAAGGTCGTTGCTTCTCACAACCATTCAAGTACTGATTGTATCAATCAAAGCCCCCATCACTGGTAATGTTTGGATTTGGGTACCGAAACTCGTGTTGTAATATGAACCTTACGCGTCGTGATCTACCTCTGTTGCTTTGTGATGTAATGCATAATCATGATTAGTAGTTTCTTACTACAATTGTTATTTATCTTTTCTATTCGTGTTTGTCTTTTTAATTATGTTTATGTTTTCAAGTTGTAATAGGTTTTATCTTTTTATTCTTGTTTCTAGTTTAGAATAGGATTTCTAATTTAGAACGGGGACATAAGAAAGGATGAAAGCAACAAAAAGAGAATGAATACGAAGAGAAGACTAGATAGGATAGTAAGAGTGAGAATAAATTGTCAGTTCCCTAATAGGGATACACTGGATTGGATACTACACCAGAGGTAGCAACTTCCCAAGTCATTCATCTTTCAAAGAGTCTTCCATAATAAATAAAGGGAGAAGGTTGT